TTGGTTTATATGCAAAAACTAGTACATTTTATATACGGGACAGGTCCTGGAACTAATTTCCAGAGGATGTCTGTACAACGAACTTTGCTGTAATATCTGAACTCTGTTCATCAAACTTTCTTCCTGCAAACTTGCTTGCTGCTTTTAAGTTCTTTCTTGTCCAGGCTCTAAAATTCTTTGGCTTGGGCCCTTCTCATTCCACTGCGCTGATTAATTAGCTAAGTTTTTCCTTTAGGATTTGCTAATTTAAGAACCACTTCTCTTTATAATACTGGTGCTTAACCTTTAAAATTATAAGGAATATATGTATAATCTCAGCTCTTATTCTACACAAAATTACACACTAAGATCTTTTAGAACCACAAGAGAACTTCCCAACCAATCTAAATACTGTATCATTCAACTTATAGTTCAAGAGCATAGGATCTAGAACCAGAGTCTGTTTTGAATTCGGTCTCCCTTACTATTGTAGTTGTATGATTGAGTAAATTAAATTCTCTGTGCTTCAATTTCCTTATCTATAGAATGGAGACAATAACTATTATCTACTATAGAGCAGTTTGGAGGATTGATTAAAAGAGTTAATATAGATAAAGCACTTAATACATTGTCTGGCTTACAAAAGTATTCAGCAAATGTTAGATTTTATAATTATTATCATTATCTCTTAAGTTCCACTATGAGATGAAAGCATTTATAAAAATGCTTTGTGATTTTTCATCAAATGGGAAACAGTTTAACTTGGTATCATGGCAAAGATATTTTCCTAAAATAACAAATATTTTCTCTCTAAATTTTTCAAATCAACTGAATAAACAGATTTGTCTTAAAACAGTTATATTTTGTTTTGATGAGATAAAGGAACAGTTTATTTGCTCAATTTTGGGGTTGAACATTTATTTAAAAAATGAACTTTATTGAGATGCAATTTGCTTAGAATAAAACGTGCAGTTTAATGAGGTTTGGCAGTGTATACACTTCTGTAATCTCTACCACAATAAGAGTATTTCTACCATCCCCTAAGTCTTGTGCTCCTTAATAGTTAAGACTATTCTACTCCAGGCCAGGCAACCAATGATCTACTCTAGACAATGTTTCTCAAAGTGTGATCTAGGGGACAGGAGAAGTCAAAGGTATTTTCATAAAAACTAAAATGTTATTTGTCCCTTTTATTCTCATTCCTTTATGAGTTTACAGTGGAGTTTTCCAGAGGCTGACTATATGATGTATGATATTGTAAGAGACTGAATGCAGCAGATATTAGAATTTAATATAATCTATTAAGCTAGACATTAACAAAATTCGCAAAGATGAAAACAAGGACATGCTTATTAAAATAGGTTTATGAAAGACAAATAAAAGGATGCTATATATGTTAATATGTAATGGCTTCTTATTTTAAACTGAATTAATATGTATTTTAAAGCTTTCTCAGTTTTGATTTCTAATATGGTTAATATCAAGAGACAATAGCCCACAAAATAAAAGCTTTTTGAAGTCCTTAATATTTAAGTGTATAAAAAAGTCTGGGACCAAAATGTTTAACTAGATAAGGTCTCTTGAAAGGGACCATGCTATCTAATTTTTTGTATCCAGAGAGCATTTAGTTCATCCCATGGCTTTAAAAATCCCTTCAGTAGAACTAATAAAGAAGATCATTACCTTTTACCAAATACGGAGACTTTTCTTTCAGATGTGGGTTTGGTCATATTCAGCTTTCCAAAGGATGGCTTTTCTTTGCTTTAAGAAAAGGAGGAAAATAAACTATTTAAAATAAATATAAAAAAAATTAGTTCAAGAAACTTTTGGAAATATGTTAGAACCAACATATTATGTTTCCTATTACCTATAAAAATAATTCAAAATTATGAAAACTCTCAGTAGCAGTCATAACTGCAATAAGAATAAGCTAATAGATTATGTCATAATGCTAAAAACGTTAAGAAAGATGAAAAAAACATAGCTACATGATGACTTCAAGTATCTTAAAATATAGACATTTATGGATAACAACATTAAAAGAAAAGAAAAAAACTTAAAAAATATTTTCAATCATAGGATGAGAGCCATATTAAAAAAATTTTTTTGGCCGAAACTGGTTTGGCTCAGTGGATAGAGCGTCGGCCTGTGGACTCAGGGGTCCCGGGTTCGGTTCCGGTCAAGGGCATGTACCTTGGTTGTGGGCATGTCCCCAGTAGGGGGTGTGCAAGAGGCAGCTGATCGATGACTCTCTCTCATTGATGTTTCTAACTCTCTCTCTCCCTTCCTCTCTGTAAAATATCAATAAAATATATTAAAAAAAACTTTTTTGAGGCCTAGTCTATCAGAACACAGCTTAATATATTTCAAGATACATTATCGAAATTACAGACCTAAAACATTGAAAATGGTAGTCTTTTAGTTTCCAATGCAATTCAAGACAAATCTTTCAGCGTAAGTAATATGCAACAGTAGAAAAGTTTTTTCTGACTTCAGAAGAAAAACCATACATAAATATTTCAAATTCTTAAAAGTAGCTGCAGCTCAAACTATGTAAACCTAAGCAATTTAAGAACAGTTAGCAAATAAAACTTGTACCTTACGTTAAACAAAATATGTTAGTTTCATGGCTGAAAGTCTTTTTGAAAAGAAAGGATTTATTAGGGCATGGCTAGCAAAAAAGACCAGGTTCTGGAGCATGAAGTCTAAGCCACCAGCAGCATGGCTAGATGAAAAGACATGTCTGATGTCCTGGAATTAAGCCCCTTTTTACATCAAATGTTGGGGTGGGGAGTGGGAGATGTAAGCTATTCTGAAAGTATTTACTTTAGCTACGGGAAAAAGGGGTGGGAGAAGCTGAAGTGGAGCCAGCTTTGGGATGGGTCCAGAGTTATCAAGGAAGAAGTACCCACTCCTTTGGATTAGCTGTGGGGGAGCAGACTGAAAAGTTTCTATGTAACTAACAAGTGGAAGCACCTGGGCTTCTAAGGCACCTGGCTATTCTCTGTTGGATACTCACAGAAATAGCCATCTTGAAATTAACACTAAATTCCAACATATATGGAGAAATGTGAGCAATTTTTGTCATAGGTGGCCCATGGCTATTAAAGGCTAACAGTCTCTCACATTCTCAGGCCACTGTAAGCTGTATGTAATTTTATTTCAGAATGTTTTTTCTTGTCATTTGGTATCCAAGAAGGATCGATAGAGATCTACAGTGGCTTAATATTAGCCTTTTTCTTAATAGGAAGAAAATCACTCATAGAGTAAAACTAGTTTACTATAGCTAGTTCTTTTGGACACCTTTTTCCAGTACATTTTGAGAAAACAGTTTGGAGAAGTGGCATTCTGTAGACTGCTACTTAACTGCAGCTTACTGTCAGAGCAAATAATGCCTTTGACAGAGAACTTGGCTAGTTGAATACACCTCAGCAAACTGACAGCCATTGCACAGGAAATAAATGTTAGCTGCCTGGCAAAAGACACGGCACGGAGACTTAAGGAACAAATGCGATATAAGACGAAACACCTTAGTAATATGCCCAACTTTTAGCTTTCCTTGACTCAAAATTAGGTGCCACTGGTAACAGGCAATATTGATCACAACATCACTGATAGTGCAGCTTTGTTATCATCACCGTGACAGATTTCTTTGTCCAAGACAAGAAGGCGTGTGATACTTACGTTTGAGGGGTATAGAGGGCTTGTTTATTCAAGTCTTGGGATCTTAACTCCTGCATAGACAGGCGGCCAGCACCACCGGTAGAAACTGAACTGCGCTTCATGCTTATGACCTGCATTCATGAATTCAGTATTAAAAAAAAAAAAAAAGTTTTCAGCTGGCACTATGAAGCACCAACTATTATCTTTATCTTCAAACAGGAAGGCAGTCAAGTTCCAATGTTTCTTCAAAATAACCTTTTCCCAGGGAGTTAATCCTAAATTCCCACAAACACAGATGAATCTGAGCAACCTTGTGTTAGCTGGTTAACAGCTATCAATATGATAATTGTTCTGTTTTTTTTTTTTCTTTCTCCCTCTCAGTCTTTGGCTGCTGTAAGGTAATTTACAACATCTCAGAATTTTTCTTTTCTTATCCATTTCTTGGTTTGACCATTATTTCTTTTTAAAATATATGCTTCTGCATCAATCAATCAACTTTCCCACTCTAACCCATAGGCCCTCTCCCACTCAATACTTGAAATGTATTCTTAAGATTACGAGGAAGACTTCCAGATGTCCGTACAGGGTCACTAGGATGTTACACTACGATCTATAACACACCAAGCACATTTACATTAGCTACGGGCAAAAGGGGTGGGAGACGCTGAAGTGGAGCCAGCTCTGGGGCGGGTCCAGAGTTAGCAAGGAAGAAGTATCCACTCCTTTGGATTAGCGGCGGGGAGCAGACTGAAAGGTTTCTACGTTACTAACAAGTGGCGGCGCCAAGCAGCTCCCAGCCCGAGCTCCCCTCAATGCTTCCCCCTTTCCGCTCCCAGCCTCTCTTCTTCCCATCAGCGTCCCCCAACCCGTCCCCTTTTCCCTCGGGAAGTCGCTGCCAGTAGAAACTGATCGGACTCCTGGACTCCAGCGCCTCGCAGATCCGGGCCAAGGCTTCCCGCAACAAGCACAACAGCCGGCGCTGGAACACCGCCCCGCAGGGCCACCAGCTGCGGGCGCTCTCGCCTCCTCCCGGCCGCCCCCCAAATAAACCCAAAGCCATTGCTCACCTTTCTTTACAGCTTCCCGACGGGACTCAGAAACCAAATTTCCGTAAACCGTGCGATAACCTGCTGTACAGGAGGGCGGCCGCCAAAACACCAGCGCCCGGACCCACCCACCCGCGCCGTTAGAATTTAAAAATCTCCGCCGGCGCTGACGTCATCACGTCCCGCACTAGCGCGCGCATGCGCACCTCTTTCGCGGAGCTGCTCGTCGCGGAAATGTGCGTGAGTTGCGTCCCGCCGGGCACGCCGGCGTCTCCGGGGCACCGTATGCGCCCCCGATGGCCCGAACCCCCAAGTGTAGCTCCGAAGGCCTGGGCGCTCTGAGTCGCCGAGGAGGGGGGGCAGAGGGCGCCCTCAGTCGCCCTGGAAACGCTTTGTCCGTACAGCAACATGGACGTGCCGGTGGACTCTTAGAGAAGATGTTCCCCTCCTTTGGGCTGAAAGGGGCTGTCTTTTATGACCACTATTTAGATGCGTGCTTTTTCCCCCACGATGCACATCTGGGAGGCCAGCATGCCCTTTTCTGATGAGGGAAGCGGCGAGGGAGGAAGGAGGTCGCAGTCGGTTCCGTAGATCGCGCCGGGGTGGTTGGTCCACGCCTAGGCTCGGGCTCAGAGTTTGCTCGCTAGGATTTTACGACCTTTCAGTCCGGTGGTGTCCGGCGAGAAGCTAGAAGGAATCCAGATGATCAGGGGGTGGGGTTGGTGTGAAGCAGAGAAGGAGGAGAGAAAAAGGGGTGCAGGGAGCATACTCGGCTTTGCTGATGGCGATGGTACACCTGGTACCGGTCCTCCCTTCACAGTCACTCCCGCTTCCCTGGGTTTGAACTCAGACAAACTCTGCCAGTAACACGGGGTTTGGGTTGCAGCTCAAAACCAAATTCGGGATACCCTGGGTCTTGTAGCAGTTGTGCCATTGACTACAGTTGTAATTTTGGGCACGCCATCCCTTCTGCCTGAGTTGCAATCTTCCTATCTAAATTTCTAGCTCCCACTAGATATTACTGGACCCCCTCCCCCCATGGTGACTCTGCAGGGAGGAGCAGTGCCAGATTTACCATCACCAAAAGCATTTATTTGAGCAATTGCTTTGTGTCAGGCACTGCACAGCACTTCAGGTCGACTATCTCATTACATTCTCTAAACTGCCCTTCAAGATGTCATAAAAAAAGGTGAAATTGTGGCTCAGTGAGATCAAATAGCTGGTCCATGGTCATAAGCTAGTCCATGGAGTTAAAAGTTTGAATCTATATGCTACTACCGTGTTTCCCCAAAAATAGACATCCTCCGAAAATAAGACCTATTTACAGGTTTCCTTCTGAGTGAAATATAAGGCATCCTCCCGAAAATAAGGCCCCCCCCCCAGGCTAAACATGAGAGATTTGGGCCACTGATTCTGAAAGAAATGGAGTCACAAGAAATTCACCAGGAAATTCAGGAATTGGATTGTTATGATGATGTTCCAGAAGATGATGACATGATTGTCTCTGAATAAATGAGTAAATTCTTGATACTGTAGGATTCACAGTTTGTCTGGTTTGTGTTGATAACTACCGTATTACCGTACCGTATACAGGTAATAAATTTCCTTTATTTTCATTTAACAATAAAGGTGTACCGTATTCTTCTTCATGGAAAAATAAGACATCCCTGAAAATAAGACCTAGTGCATCTTGGGAGCAAAAAATAACGTAAGACACTGCCTTATTTTTGGGGAAACAGGGTAGTATTAACTGTGCTATTAGTCACATGTATTTCTTAATTTGTCCCCCCTCATCAGTGTTCCACTAGATTAGATTTAGTAAGCAATATCAAGAACTGAAAAGCATCTTTTGAAAAAAAGATTAGGAAGTTCTGAAAAATCTAGTTGCTGGAGGAGAACTGCTCAGAGCAAATACAGGTCTAGGCTCTGTAACCTTGCAATTTGGCTACGGTTTAGTGCTGTTAAAATTGCATTTTGCTTTACCTTTACCTTTATCCTTGTGTACTCCATTGGTACCAGTAAGGCAATGATACCAGAGAGCTGGCTGAGTTATTAGGTTAAATGTAGTTTGAAAAACAAGATCTGATATGCCAACAGCTCCTCTGAAATAGTGACCTCTGGGTTTATCTCACTAAAAAGAGTGGATTCACATAGGTAATACAGTATTCTTTGCTTTGACAGGACACCTTCACCTGTTAAGGATTCAGTGATTTTCTGACTTGGAAGATGTAGACATAATGGCTGGTTCCAAGCAGGGCCCAGGAAGATAGATCAAATTGGGATTCTAGAAATAAGATCAGGTTTTAATTCTCTTTGTCCAAGTTGGCTGAAAATTTTGAATTATTAACCCTGATATTCAAAGTTTATATTAAAACAATGTAATTATTTTTAGACCTGCTACATATCATGAATGTTAAATTCTCTTCTGTGTACATGTCAAGTTTATTTACTTGTGAATTTATTTGTGTATGAAATATATTTTTATTGAATATAGGACATTTAAGAACTTGATCTGGAAAGTTGGGTTTTACTTCTAATTTCATTCCCAGAGATTTTTTTTTTTTCTTCTTTTCTTCCTTTTTTAAAGAAAGAGAATGTCAGTGGTGCACCAGCTGTCACCAGGATGGTTACTGGATCATCTTTCTTTCATTAACAAGATCAACTATCAAGTTCACCAGCATCATGAGTCTTGTTGCAGTAAAAATGAGCCCATTACTTCTGTTCACCTTGATTCTGTGTCCTCCTTTGGCTCCTCAACTAAATTTATTGCTTCTGACTCTACTACTAAGCCCAAGAATGATGATGGAGGAAATTGTGAAATGTTCATACAAAAATATATTTTTAGATCTGAACTGTTTGATATCACTAAACCTTATATAACTTCAGCTATTTACAAGGAATGCCAACAAAATAATGAAAAGGAAGATTTAATGAATGGTGTTAAAAAAGAAATCTCCATTTCTACTCATGGGAAGGTAGAAAGTTTTAAGAAATTTTTATATTTCTATAGAAAATAAGATTTATTATTCCAGTATCAGATATCTTGTGATTTACTAAGTTTAAAGAATAAAGCATAAGAATTAGGAAGCATAAGAAGGCTTTAGTGTATCCAGAGTAATTTTTAACAATTTGCTAATAACCCTTGCTATACAATCCCTGCCTTTATGGATCTTATAATTGTAAAGACAAAAAAGATATTAAATAAACATATTGAGAGTTAGAATAAGAAAATTAATAGAGGTAAATTATTACATTGTTATAAGTATCTGAAGTAGCAATTTTAATATTCATGTGATTTTTTTCTCGTACATAGGTTTTTTCTCTTTCAACTAATTATTGATCATCTGCTATGTGCCAGGCACAGAAAATATTTCTGAACTTTCAGTAATATAGTATGTAGGTAATTTATCATTACTGTTATTAATTCAGGCAAATAACAATAAACAGTTGTAAAGGACTTTACAGTTCACCAAGTATGGACATTGTCTTAATGTTTAGGTATTTTAGTATTTCAATGTTTAGGTGTCTTATATTGGGTACATATCTCATTTTAATATGGAAAAATATAGATGACCATATGTAATGAGGTTATCTTGATAAAACTTTATTTATTTATTTATTTTTTAATAATGTTGAGACTTTAAAAAATATATATATTTTATTGATTTTTTACAGAGAGGAAGGGAGAGAGATAGAGAGCTAGAAACGTCGATGAGAGAGAAACATCGACCAGCTGCCTCTTGCACACCCCCTACCGGGGCTGTGCCTGCAACCAATGTACATGCCCTAGACCGGGATCGAACCTGGGACCCTTCAGTCCACAGACTGACACTACCACTGAGCCAAACCGGTTTTGGCAAAACTTACCTATTTATTTTTATATTTTTAAAATATATTTTATTGATTTTTTTACAGAGAGGAAGAGAGATAGAGAGCTAGAAACGTCGATGAGAGAAAAACATCGACCAGCTGCCTCTGAACATGATCTGTGCCCCCAACCAATGTACATGCTCTTGACCTGAATCGAACCTGGGACCCTTCAGTCCACAGACCGACACTCTACCACTGAGCCAAACCGGTTTCAGCAAAACTTATTTTTCTTTTTTTTCTTTTTTTAATATATTTTATTGATTTTTTTACAGAGAGGAAGAGAGATAGAGAGACAGAGCTAGAAATGTCGATGAGAGAGAAACATCGACCAGCTGCCTCTTGCACACCCCCTACCGGGGTTGTGCCCGCAACCAACGTACATGCCCCTGACTGTAATCGAACCTGGGACCTTTCGGTCCGTAGACCAACGCTCTACTGCTGAGCCAAACCGGTTTTGGCAAAACTTACCTTATTTTTGATATGCTATGGCAAATAGTGCAATTAACTTAAACTTAAATTCATTTATTTATTTAGCCAACAAATATTTATTGTTAGTCTGCTAAGAGTTTGCCACAATGTAAGCACTGAGGTTTCAGCAATAAAAAGTACATAGTTCCTGCTCTGTATTGCACTGTCTTACGTGTTCTTTGCTATGGAGTTGTTAGACATAGCATAGTAGTAATATATCTCATTTGTATCTCACCCTCAGATCAATTACAAACAACTATTAAAAATACATTGGAAAATTTTTTAGGCATATAGATGATAGTTCTCCATAACTGAAGAAAGTTCAGGATAATTATACCATATATATCAACTGACAGATGACACTGCTGACTGTTTATACTAGCAGGTGTCTTCAAACTACGGCCCGCGGTCCACATGGGGCCCGCAGAGGAGTCTGATCCGGCCCGCCAGGTTTTTTGGGCAGTGAGCGCAGCCGAGGTGTTACAGTAGGAATTAGTAGTTCATATAGTCCGGCCCTCCAGCTCTCTGAGGGACCGTGATCTGGCCCCCACTTTAAAAAGTTTGAGGACCCCTGGAATGTCACAGTTGTTCCACGGATGTCAGTGATACATTTTACCATTTAGTAATATTTTTCACTATTAGCTGATATGGCAGAGGTGACCTTTTATCACCTATTAAATTTGTAATAAAATTATTAATAATTACTGGGGAAAAATTTGTATCCTTTTTCCATACCCTCTGCACTGATTTTGACCTAAATAATAATTATTACATCTTGAGGACTGAGTTATCCAATATGGAAAATGTGATAAAGAAAAAAAAAATTCAAAATATTAATATTGTGATAGATGGCAGTATAATTTTCTCCCTGTAATTTATTCTTTAGAAGCGTAAAAGGAGTGTTGGTTTCAATCAAGGTGAACTGGATGCTATGGAATACCATGAAAAGGTAAAGTGAGAAATGTTTACTGATAACATAAGATTGATGTGAAGTAGTGTAAAAAGACGATATAAGTAAGGATGTTCTTAAAAACAATTGTGATTAAAGTTAGAATTTAATAAAGGAGTGGATTATTGTTACTTTTATATTAATGGACAATTTAAACAAGCTTATATTAAAACTTCATATATTCCTATTTTACATATTTAATGTAAGTAAACTTATGCTATATTGGTTAAGTTTAGAAATTGTGTAAGTTATAAAAGCCTACTGTCCATAGCTAAAACAACTTAAAGAGAGTGGCGGAAGAAAGCATGAATAATGTGAAGGATGTATTTGTGGAACTAAGAGATAAATGAAATCTAGGAGATAAATAAATGGGAGAAAACTGAGGGAACACAAATATTTCAAGCTTAATTGCCTAAGGAACACTTCTGATTGAAATGGGAAACCAGGGTTGGACTTGTTGAATTGTTGTGATGGTATGACATTGAATTTTTCCCCCCCAAAATCTTTTTTTTGTGGTAAAATATACATAACAGAATCTATCATTTTAAACTTTTATAGGTGTATAGAATTCATTTTATAACTTAAGTATATATTTTCTTATATATACTATTTTGTTATTTAATTTTCAGTAAATTTATGAAGTTTGTATCATTCCCCAATTAGGAAACTGCAGTTCAAAGGTATACTCATACATTCTTATCTTTTCATTGTAGTATGGAATTATTTTTCTACTAGAGGCCCGGTACACAAAATTTGTGCACAGGGGACTGGTTCTTCAGCTCGGCCTGCACCCTCTCCAATCTCATGGAGACGGTTGTTTTGTTGTTTTGGTCTTGATGCCTCTTGGCCTTTTAGTATCAGGAAAAGCATTATGGATTAATTTCAATCTATAAATGTTTACATATTCAAAGCATAGTAGGAGTTTCATTATTTAGAAAATTGTTTTAATGTCAGTGACTTTTTAATGTACTTAAAAATTTTTCTTACAGATCAGGGGGCTGATTTTGGATGGATCTTCACAGATAATCCAAGAAGGTTTAAAGAGTGGCTTTCTTCATCCACTTTCTGAAAAACAGGACAAGTGTAATGAACTCATTACTTTATCATTTGATTCCTGCAATTTATCAGAATTATGTGAAATGGCAAAGCATTTGCCTTCTCTGAATGAAATGGAACTTCTAACATTACAATTGATGGAAAACAATATGTCTGTTACAGAGCAGGATTTATTTTCACGGATTGTTGAAAACAACTCTAGATTTACAAAAATGATTACTTTAATGGGACAGAAATACCTGGTGCCACCAAAAAGCAGTTTTCTTTTGTCTGACATTTCTTGTATGCAACCGCTTCTGAATTGTAAGTAATTATTACGTATTACTAGAAAAAGATAATTTTTCTGTGGCCTCAAAAGTCAAGAGCTAATCTGAATGTTGAGTGAGGGCAAACATTTTATGAGGATATGTAAACACTGGATTTTCTCAATGTAATTTTGCACTTAAATTCAAGTTTAAAATGCTGAATTTTGCTTCTAAAAAACCATTTTAAGTTATTATTATGTACAAAGGGTCAAAAACTACCTACTCCCTAAGAGAGCAAATATAATTACTATTTTGTACTTAGGAATTCAGGATACAATTGGGTTTGACCAAATAATTTTATTTAACTTTTCTTCATAGCAAAATAAAACACTTCCGATATGAATATTAATTCTTAGCCTTTTAGGTTCTATTTTAAGCTAATGTTCAAGTTTATTGTACCAAATTTCTTGAAACATTTTCCTGTATAAAGTTGAAAACCTTAAATATTGAAGCCCAGACCAGAATTTGAATTTAGATTCTGATGTTTAACTGTGAATTTGGGTACTTCACAAAACTGAGCTTGAGTTTCCTAATCTATAAAATGTATATGATAATACCTACTTCTCAGGGTAATTTTGAGGTTAAATGAAATAATCTGCATCAGGAGGTTAGCTTCATGATTTATATGTTTTTAATAAATTACAACTCAGTATTCTAAGGGATGAGTAGGTAAAAGGTAAGTATTGGTCAAGTTGAATTTAATTATTATTTGGACATTTTTATATCAAAATTTAAAGATCAAATGACATGGCTTATTAATGAAAAGGTTATTTTAATTGTGATCATCTTACTCATGAGCAGTTATTCATGCTGCAATATTATAAATTCCTCAGGGTAAATGATAGTTTAACAAATTAATGAGAAAAATCATGCTATTTTTGAACATTGTTTTTGTTCTTTTTTATTTTTGTTACTCTAATAGTTTAAAAACTGTTACTTCCTTATTTTAAATTGTGTTCTTTTGATTACTTATGAGATTGTACATTTACAGAAATATAAATCACCTTTGTTTATAAAAGGAGAAGTGACAGCTCTTCCTTACTGTGAAATTCCAATTAATAAATGCTGATGGAATGATGGAACTGGAAAATTTACATTTGGCAAATATTGTACCATAGTAGTTGGATGTAAAAGTAGTGGATGAAAAGATGAGATACAGTATATTTGCATAGTCTTAAAGTATCTCCCCCACAAGACACTTATTAATTACAAAGGGAAAACTAGAGAAACCTGCAGACTACACTTTAACTGAGTGATCAAAGGTAGTATCACCAATAATGGGACATTCTGACATCTGTATTTCCTGAGAGGTGGTTCTGATAATGACACAGAATTACTTCAGTGGTTCTCTTGCCCCAAAAAACCTATGTTTAATCGTGAGAAAATACTCAAACTGAGAGACATTCTACAAAATAACTGGCCAGCAGTCTTCAAAAGTGTCAAGATCATAAAAGACAAAGAAAAACTGAGGAACTTGCCCAGATTGGAGGGGATTTGGTAGACATAACAACTAAATGCAAAGTGTGATCTTGATTTGGGTACATGGCTAGAAAAAACACACGACATAAGTAGACAATTGAGGAAATTTTATTATGGCCGATATATCAGTTAAAAGACTGAAAGTTTATTTCATAAAGAAACTTAAAAAAATAAAGCAAAAAACCTTGAAGTTTGAAAGGACTATATTAATATTGCTATGAAGACTAACAGGGTTTTTTAAATCATTGGTGTCCAGCTAAGTGAGCTGTAGTTATTTTCAGACAGTCTCTAAAAAATAGTAATAGGGGAAATCATATTAAAATCCTGGTAGTACTAAATTAATGGTTTTAGTCTATTTAAATAAATGCCATAAATCCTTTGTTGCATTGCATTGTATTTGTGTATGTGGTGAATGCACTTCTGTTTTGAAGGACATGTTTAGTTTTTAGGGTGATCACATACAGAAATTTCTGAAATTGTGTCTTTGTTCTTAGGTAGGAAAACATATGATGTGATTGTGATAGATCCACCATGGCAGAACAAGTCGGTTAAAAGAAGTAACAGGTAGGTGTAAACAAGTCTTCTATTAGGTAGGTTTTCTGAAGGCTATCGTCCTTTGTACATTTTAGTTACATGTGCTAAAAACATTAGTTTTTGATAAAGGTTGTCTCAAACTGCTGAAACACTTTAGTATTAAAGTTTTAATTTCTTTAAGTAGATAATTCTCTTGAACTAGAGCTATATATAGGTGTAAGGATGTTAAAAGTAATATATTTATTAATTACTGAGGTAACTGTCTGAACCCATTCAGGGATGTTTCTGCAAAGGGCAACCTTTTTGCCTTCTTTAATATCAAACACAAAAGTTTAGAAATATATACTACCATAGTATATATTTCTAAACTTTATATATATTTCTAAACTTTATATATTTCTAAACTTAATATATAACATAGTATAGATTTCCTTAATAATCTGACTTTTTTACTAAGCTGCTGGAGGTAATCTGTCATAGCTGGTAGGATTGTGCTTGTGTAGTGTGTGTCTGTGTGTGTGTGTGTGTGTGATCTGTTTATTATAGCTTTTGCAAATGTATAACCTAGATATTATCTGACCAAAGATATGAGACCTCTACACTGAAAATTATAAAATATTTTTGAGAAAAATTAAAGGAAACATTAAAAAAAATTAAATTTATAGTTGACATACAATATTATAGTACTTTCAAGTGTAGAACATAGTGATTAGACATTGCTATACCTTATGAAGTCATCACCCTGATAAGTTTGGTACCTATCTGGTATCGTATTTAGTTACTATAATAATATTGAATATATCCCCTAAGCAAAGAGAATCTTAATAAAAGAAGATCTCATACATTGAAGTGGGACTTTAACAAACTATCTAAAAATATATTTTATTGATTTTTTACAGAGAGGAAGGGAGAGACATAGAGAGCTAGAAACATCGATGAGAAACATCGACCAGCTGCCTCCTGCACACCCCCCACCGGGGATGCGCCTGCAACCAAGATACATGCCCTTGACCGGAATCAAACCCGTGACCTTTCAGTCCGCAGACTGACGCTCTACCACTGAGCCAAACTGGTTTCGGTTAGTTGTTGTTTTGAAATTGTTGGTTCTCTCTCATTTGTTGACTTTTTGATACCCATTCTGACAAGAGTGAGGCAGTATCTCATTGTAGTTTTGATTTGCATGATAATTAGTAATACTAAGCATCTTTTTGTATGTCTATTGGCTATTTGTATTCTTCTTTGGAGAAATGTTCTTTTGTGACCTTTCCCCATTTTTCTGTTGTATTGCTTATTTTTTTTTATTAATGAGTTATATGGATTTCTTATATATTTTGGATATCAACTCAGATAAAAAGATATCATTTATGAATATATTATTTCTTTCAAGCAGGTTGTCTTTTTGTTTGTTGAAGATTTATTTATCTTTGCAGAAGCTTTTTAGTTTGTTGAAGTCCCACTGGTTTTTTTGCTTTTGTTTCCCTTGCTCAAGGGGATATGTAAAAAGAGATATTACTCAGACTGACGTCAAATAGTTTACTTTCTATATTTTCTTCCTTACATTTTTTTAAAACCATTTTGAGTTTATTTTTTTAACCAATAAGTTTTTCAATTATATTTTGCATTCATCAATATTTTATATCAATTTCAGGTGTACAACCTACAGTTACCATGCATTAGAGTTGGATTCCGACGTTTATTGTATTTGGACATTTTGATGTTATTTACTTTTTCTAGAGCAGATTTAATAGTAGAAACCTCATTGTAGTCAATTGAGGAATATAGGAGAGACAGCAGAAAGACAAATTGCATATGAGTCCTTAATTTAGCTGTATTCAGAGGAGATCAAATTGAGGAAAACTCTCTGTTCTATAAGAAACATCAGAGGTTAGCATGGCTGTATAGCATACCTCTTAAAGAAAAGGGGATTTTATGCAAGGATGGATGAATTATATCCTGGAAGCAGCAATAGGGGGCCTGGGAGAATTCTTTTTATTTTTTATTTTTTATTTTTTATTTTTTAAAATATATTTTATTGATTTTAGACAGAGAGGAATTGAGAGGGATAGAGAGTTAGAAACGTCGATGAGAGAGAAACATCGACCAGCTGCCTCTTGCACACCCCCCACTGGGGATGTGTCTGCAACCAAGGTACGTCCCCTTGACCGGAATCGAACCGCGGACCTTTCAGTCCGCAGGCCGACGCTCTATCCACTGAGCCAAACTGGTTTCAGCGGCCTGGGAGAATTCTAGTCTCACTTCTCCCAGTTGTATATCTTAAGTGTTGGAAAACGGCAGCATATACCAGTATTTGATTGAGTATTGTAGAGCAAGTAGTGCAAGAGAAACTAGACTTCATACTATTAATGGCCATGAGATACAAGATTAGGATTTTTAATTTTTAATTTTTTTGTAATGAAAGCATAAGAATTTTAGAGAGGCCAGTGGAATTGATTGGGAAGGAAGAAAGAAGGAGGATGATAGACTGAGGGATGAAAATACAGTAGAATATTGAGACAGTAGTGTCCAGACTACTGTGACGGGGTACCTGCGTAATGTACAGATTATGACAACCAAACAATAATTGTAAAAAGCATGTTGTAAATATTACTAAAATTACTGAACTGCAGTGCATTTAAAAGTGATAAAGAAATATAGACCGACAAGTTGAAACAAGTTATAAAACAAAAAATAAAGTTATTTCTGACTTGCCCATAATAGTGTGTCCACTGGATGTCACTGTGGGTACATATTTAGTGATACAAATGCATAACTATGGGAGCTTTGTGTTTGTGGAGTAGGTGCTATACTGGCTTTTTCCATGCTTATTATTGTTATTTTTGCAGCAAATTTTGCTAACATTTTTCTGTTTATTTTTAGGTATAGTTATTTGTCACCACTGCAAATAAAACAAATACCTATCCCTAAACTGGCGGCTCCAAACTGTCTTGTTATTACTTGGGTGACTAATAGACAGAAGCACTTACGTTTTGTAAAGGAAGAACTTTATCCTTCCTGGTCTGTGGAGATAGTTGCTGAATGGCACTGGTTAAAAGTAAGTTCAGAAGTTAATTTGTTTGTTCATATAGCATGACATGTAAGTCACATTAAGATAGCATCTACTGCCGAAACCGGTTTGGCTCAGTGGATAGAGCGTCAGCCTGCGGACTGAAAGGTCCCGGGATCAGTTCCGATCAAGGGCATGTACTTGTGTTGCGGGCACATCCCCGATAGGGGGTGTGCAGGAGGCAGCTGGTCGATGTTTCTCTCTCATCGACATTTCTAGCTCTTTATCCCTCTCCCTTCCTCTCTGTGGAAAATCAAAAAAAGAAAAAAAAAAGATAGCATCTACTTTTTAATACTTAACATGTTGCTGCTCTACTCCTTCAACATAGTCTAATTAAAATTTTTACTTTGCTGGTAAATACTTTCATCTTTTTATTTTAAGGCTTTGTTTGTTCGCTCTGATTTTGTAACAGTTCTAAACTACTGGCCTTAGTAAGCCACTCAGAGAAATACCAGGATGAATTTTTAAAAAGCTCTGTTGTCTGTAGTTTAAAAATCAACAAACAAAAATTCCGAGGAATCTGTTCATCACTAAACATAGAAATAGCCTTACCCTTTATCTTCTTTCTCATTATGCATCCACAATTTCAGTCACCATTTTTGACTCCTTTCCTTTTTTTCTTTCTTTTGTTGCTGGGGGTGGGAGGGAGAATAGCAAATTAACCCAGTGTGGCAGATCCTATAGATCAGGCTGAAACCAGCAGTCGGACATCCCCCAAGGGGTCCTGGATTGGGTAGGGTGCAGGCTGGGCTGAGGGGATCCTCTTCCTCCATGCATGAATTTTGTGCACCAGGCTTCTAGTATTATATGAAACACTATTGTTATAATAGAAGGAGTAATCTACATTGAGTATAAAGAATATCATAAGAATGAGAATTTCCAGTGCTTTAAATGCACTTTATAGTAGAGGTGCTATCTCATGGCTCTAGTGGTGATAAAAAGGTTTCACTGATTTTGTTTTTAGGTACTTTGATATGGGCTAAAGAATTTTATAGCTAAAATAAATGAATATTCTGATAATGAAAATATATATCTCTACCTTTAATTAATGAATTGATAGTGTTATTATGAATATTTTGAATTTAATTAGCTTAAGTAAGTCTTTGAGAATCTGATCACTCCAAGATGAAAAGATAAAATTAATTTCTGGATTTATAATGCCCAAGGATTGTACAATTATCTATCTCATCAATCCCTGAGCTTCTTTCATTATTAATTTTAGCTCTGACAGCATTAATGACACTGTTTCCTATAAATGAAGGAAAGTATTATAATCTACTTAGTCACATTGCCAGTAATCATTAAATATTTGAATGAATGAATAAATGAGTTTATGATGGCATGGTTTCCAGGAAAAAATATTAATGAAAATTAGAGATTTCTGTGTACAAAATGATAAAGTGATATTTAAAATATTTTTTAGTCCCTTACAGCTGCTCTGTCCAATATGGTAGTTTTCTCTGTAGTTTGTTCAAACTGAGATGTGGTGGTAGGTATAAAATACTAGATTTTGGAGGTTTAGTATGAAAAACATTATAACTTATCTCAATATATTTTTTGAATTTTTACATAATGAAATAATATTTTTGATATATTAGATTAAATTAAATATGTAATTAAAATTAATTTCACTGCATTCTTTTGATTTTTTAAAATGTTGCTTCTAGAAAATTTGATACACATATTTGTGGCTCAATTATACTTATTTTTATTAGACAACATTAGCCTGGAAGTTTAATAATTTATTTTTCTTTGGTGTAAAATGTGGGAAAAAAGTCACAAACAAACATTTCCAGGATACTTATAAATAAATAAAAATATGATTTTTTTTACTCCTTCCTATCAGATTACCAATTCAGGAGAGTTTGTGTTCCCATTAGATTCTACTCACAAAAAGCCTTATGAAGGTCTTATACTGGGGAGAGTTCAAGAAAAAACTAATTTACCATTAAGGTAGGAATGGTGATTTTTCAGTTATATAAATCTATTAAGTTTTAGGTTTTTAAAAATTATTAATCAACTGATCATTGATTTTCTTTAACTTTTACATTTTCAAAAATATGCAAATGTCCCATGCCAAAGAAGTATGAATGGTATGGTACATGAAATTTTATAATATTTTTTGTTTTATCTAGTATGTAATTGTTGAAAAGGAAATTATTAGGAATGTCTTAATACTTAAATTGTTGATTTCCATTATTGTTTCTATTAATTTTAAATTCAGATATTATTTGAAAGGTGAAAAAAATTAAGGCAACTGTGGCTTGTATATAAAAAATGTCCCGTAAAATATAATTTACTTTCTTCTCTTTTAATTAGGAATATGCTCCCCATTCCAGATCACAAGTTAATTGTCAGTGTACCCTGTGCCCTTCACTCTCATAAGCCACCGCTTGCTGGTATGTTTTTATAAATAGAATTATTCTGACTTCTGTCAAATTTAAAAAAAGGATTGAGCCGAGACCGGTTTGGCTCAATGGATAGAGCGTCGGCTTGGGGACTGAAGGGTCCCGAGTTCGATTCCGGTCAAGGGCATGTACCTTGGTTGCGGGCATATCCCTGGTGGGGGGTGTGCAGGAGGCAGCTGACCGATGACTCTCCCTCTCTCTCTCTCCCTTCCTCTCTGTACAAAATCAATAAAATATATATATAAAAAAAGGATTGAATTTAGTATTCTAATGGTCTAGAGATTTGGAAATTAAATCAGATATGTTATTTTAATTAATATTCTAAAATTTTATAGCAGAATATATGAAGAGTTGTTTTTTGTTTTGTTTTTGTCTTGCTGCCCTTGCTTGTTCTAAAACCAGCTCAGAATAGTAGTCAGAGATGGTTAGAATTCCTTTTGGTATTTGGTAGAAACTCTCAGGGTTTTATGTTGAGGTAATGTTGCTTTTCTGAACCATTGGAAAGGTAATTGCTGCAGCCTGCAACTTTTACTAGTCTTAATGCTTTAGTATAATGTTCATCATTCAATGAAACTAAGCAGTGAGGAATAGTGAAAAGTTTTGGCTTTGGATATTTACTGTCATGAGTTTGAATATTGGCTGTGCAATTTGAGTGAGTTACTCTAATCCACATGTGTCAAACACAAGGCCCGCGGGCCAAATCCGTCCCGCCAGGCCTTGCAATGTGGCCCGCACCGCGCTGTCATCACTGCACTCCGCTGCGTTTCCATCACAATGACAGTTTATGACTGTTCCGTAAACCATTCGGCCCGCGATTTAGGCTGGATTTTAGATTTTGGCCCCTTCTCTGATTGAGTTCAACACCCCTACAATCATTTTCCATCTCAAAGTGCTAATTTAAGATGGAATAATGATATTTAATCTTTAAATTTGTGAGGATTGGTTATAATATATTTGAAATTCTTTAGCATATACTAGAAGCTCAGTGAATGCTATATTTTTCAAGTGAAAGTTCAAACAATAGGATGTTCTTGAGAGAGATTGAATTTTATATTCAAAGTTTGCTATTCAAATAATTTCTTCAGGAATATATATTTTATTAATTTAGTGATCCCTGCTTTGAAAACCCCCAACTTTTCAAGCTCTTACTCAGAAAAACTACAGCCCTCATCCTGTCATATTATTTTGTAGAAAATGGTATAGTTTATGAGTTAGGATATATAGGAAAGTGAATACACATTCCTTAAAGAATTTTTATTGATAGCACTTAGGCTTTCTGTATCTTAAATTGCTTATGTAGAAGAAACAGTGTTATGTTACTTCATTCAGATGTCTACCTCATGATTATTATTATTTTTTTACTTAGAAGAAGAATTCTCTGTGAATAATTGCCTTTAAACTTTGGACTGCCATAGATTCTTTAATGCATTAAATATGTGACTTAAATGAAAATGGTATTGTACTGCTCTTTGAGAAAAAAAATTGTTTGACACTAGTTATACTCGATGGAGGAATTCTAATTTGTATTCTTATCACTTAAATTTTAATCAGCCAGTGAGTGCCAAAGCTCAATTTAGTGTTTGCCTTAGGGCTTATTATTTTACTTGTAAAAATCCAAAAGCTAAGATCCAAAATATTTCATTCTTAAATAATAATTATACTATTTATCAATTACTTTTAAATAAAATTATGTTTAAAGTGATAAAGTTATAACACAGTGAAAACAATCAGTCTTTTATTACTACTAATAAAAATTAATGTTACAGCCTGTGTCTATGAAATGCAGTTCTGCCATATTCCCAGCAGAGAGCAGCACAAGTACACAAGAACCATTTGAAACAAAAATTAGACGGGGTGGTGGGGCGAGTCGCATTATTTCATGTATGTAATCCTTATGCTTTGGGTACATAGTGATAGACAAGAAATACTTGTAATCCTTTATTTTTTAGTTCATGTTATTATATAGCATGTGCATGTATTTTTAGGTGTAGAGCTATACAAATTAAAGCTACCAGAAAGCAGCTTTCAAATTTCTGCAGTATATTTTACTTTGAGATCATAACTCTAGAATTTAGGATGACACATGTCCTATATATAATGTTTAGAACTTTTACTTGTAAATGTTCTTAAATTGCAAATTCATAAACTGAAAAGTTCTTTTGCTTCTAGAAACACCAAGATTTTTTAAAAAAAATTATAATTTGTTATTTCTGCCTCAATATAAAAAGCAGCAAAATTAGCAGCATATTCATTTCAACTAATACATTTACTCGATTTTTAAGTTTTGAAGTTTTCTCCTTACATTGAAAGATAAGCCATCAATAACTATGATGGCTTATAACCCAGCATTATAAATGTATATTCTTAAGTTTAAAGATTTAATAGGAAGATTAGGAAATAAAAGTATTTTAGTCAAACTTTATATTTTATATTTTACCTTAGAGGAATTTCCATTCATTTTTACTACTTTACTCAGTAACAGTCTATCTGAAGAGTAAAACATAGTTTTATGAGAATCTATATAGCGTTTGAGCATCTTCCCATCCTTGCTCCCAGAGCAAAGGGGAATTACTGGCGATGCATGGATTACTTCCACATTGTTGGTTAGAAGTATATTTACTAATACCAGATATTATGTAACTAAGTATAATATGTACATGTTTTACTCATATTTAAATATATATGCACTTAATGTTTTTAAAAAATATATACTTTTATTGATTTCAGAGAGAAAGGAAGAGGGAGAGAGAGAGAGAAACATCAGTGATGAGAGAGAATCATTGATTGGTTGCCTCCTGCACACCCCACATTGGAGATGAAGCCTGTAACCCAGGCTTGTACCCTGACTGGGAATCAAACTGTGGCCTCCTGGTTCATAGCCCTGATTTATCAGTTTTCGTTTGTAGATGAGAAATGAGGATTTTAACACCCACACGGATGACTTCAGTTTTCCAGCAACTTAGCCCTACTGGCTGGGCTGCATTTACTTTTTAATGGAGATATAATTGACATATCATATTAGTTTCAGGTGTACAACAGGATTCAATATATCTATGTACAGATGCCCCCAATTTTCAATGATTCTTCTTAACAATTTTTTTTTAACTTTACAATGGTGCCAAAATGATATACAGTCAGTAGAAATCATACTTTGAATTTTGAATTTTGATTTTTCCCCTGGGCAATACCACACTTTCTCAGAATGCTGGGCAGCAGCAGTGAACCACCGCTCCAGGCAGCCACTTAGTCCCAAGGATAACCAAGTCACTTAAAACCTACAGTGCATTTATTGTGTTAGGTGATTTTACCCAACTATAGACTAATGTAAGTGTTCTGAGCATGTTTAAGGTAGGCTAGGCTCGGTTGCAATGTTCAGTAGGTTAATTGTATTAAGTGCATTTTTGACCTATGATGTTTTCAACTTGTGATGGGTTATCAGGGCATAACCATCGTAAGTTGAACATCTGTATTGTGAAATGATCACCAACAGTAAGTCTAGTTAATATCCATCATCACACATAGTTATACATTTTTTTCTTGTGATGAAACTTTTAAGATCTTGCATTTAATTTTAAATGGATATTTTAAATTAATAAGAATAGTTTTTTTTATTAATTTGCCTTTATGTCTTTTGCTTTCTTTTGAACTTAAACAAATATTTAGCATCATAAGACATATTCCTTGATTTTCTATTTTTTGTTAACTAGGAAGAAAAAAATCATGCGGTAATGTGTTGCATTGAGAAAGGAGGTGGTAAATGGGTTTAGGTTATTTGTATTTTTCCACTCTAAGTCATCTTTTTCTATTAGATTGTGAACTCTTAGAAAACATGGATATCTTTTCTTTTCTTTTTAAATTAACTCCCATAGCACTGATTAAAGTAGATGCTTAGAATAGTAAATATTTTTGATTGGCTGACTCCAGTTTAGACTCCAGATTAAAGTCCCAAAATAGAGTTGCTAACATCTTTGTACTGAAAAACTGAACAAATAAGCAAAAACAAAGAGAACCTTGGTTCACTATTATCTTAGACCACATTAAAAGTGAACTGAGGCTGGTAATGCATCATGCGGGGTGGGGAACGTGGAAAAGTGCTACAGGTTATTGTCCTCTAAGACTTTGGGGAAATTTTTCTCTTTCTAGTTCAGTACCATTTAATTCTTTACGAAAGGACTAGAAATCTTTTTGTTACCATCTCCTAGATGCTAGCAAAGTCTAAATTTAAATTCAGTTGAGTTATAGACAGGTACTTTTAGTTCTTTGATATATTTTTTTTAAAATAGGACCAGTACTTTCAAATATATTGCTGTGAGAGCAATTGAAGAACATTATAAAAACATAAAAATTTTCATATATTGGCTTTTAGACCTTACCTACATCAATTTTTCCTAAGGAACTCTTCTTATTACTAAAGGGAATTTGATAGATTTCTTCCAAGCTCAATCTTGTATAGCAATTAAGATTTTATTTTACCTGTCCAGTGACTTTTTTTCCCTGAGTTGTTATTTTCATACCCAGTTTCTGTAATTAGTGAATAGCTAACTTAGCAATGTGATTAAGTTTAAATTGACTTAAGTATTTGTCTAAGTGAGCATGGTAAAAGCTTCTATGGTATTCTTTTCTTTCAGTTAGTTTTGATCACAGCTATTTATCCAGTATATATAAGATACTTTTTTTCCCAACAAAATATCATTTTCAATAATAATATAATGAAGAAGGAATACTTAACTATGGAAATAATATAGTAAAATTTTTTAACTAAGGATGTATAATTTGAAAGTGAAAGAATGTTCTTAGTACCACCAAGTTATAGCTAGGGGATATAGTTATTTGTTAATTATGTATTCTGAATATTTCTGGGTCCAACTGTTCATTCACTTCACTTTCACTAAAGTATATGTTTGCAGAGACTTACATTTTATCTTAGTTTTTAAAGTGGGTTGTCTCTGAATTGTTATTGTCGACTTCTTTTTTATGCATGGATTGCATTTATTAAAAAATAAATTAAGTTTGTACTCAGAAGACATGTCAGCAGTATTGGAAAACTGAAGTCATCTGTGTGGGTGTTAAAATCCTCATTTCTCATCTACAAATGAAAACCGATAAATCAGGGCTACAGGAAGTTCTCATGGAGTTTTTCTCAATCTCAAGGGTACTTATTTCAAATGACTTTCTACCTATAAATAGTAAAGCCTGTGACAAAATCCTTGAAATTAATTTGCTATCTATTTTTAAGGAAATATTTTTGCTTTTCTACTCTTAACTGCTAAAAGGATATTGATTCTTTTCTGAATAATAATTTTTGTGTTTTTCTCTTTTTCAAACAGAGGTTTTAAAAGACTATATCAAGCCAGATGGGGACTATTTGGAATTGTTTGCTCGAAATTTACAGCCCGGTTGGACTAGTTGGGGCAATGAAGTCCTCAAATTTCAACACGTGGATTATTTTATTGCTGAGTCTAGAAGCAGACTCTGATCTTAAAAGTTGTGATTTTCTTCAGTTTTTTCTTATCTCCCTTTATTCTGATTTTTTTTTTTTTTTTTTTTTAATTACCAAGCAGTACTCTTAGAACTGTAAACAGGACCTGGTTGTTCAGCAAAATAGCCAGAGGTGATTAGCCTTTATGTGATTTTGAGATGAATTTTACTTCACTTGCAATAGTATTATATACTATTCTAGGCTCATTACAAATAAAGATGGTAAGTGTTTAGAAAGATGGCAAGACTTTGTTATGGAGACAGTCATGAAGCCTGCACTGTGGACCAGAGGTCATAATTCTGCCTATGGATGTGTATTTTTTTGGCCCACACATTGATATAAAACATTTGAGGCATCATTCTAGAAAAACCAGGAAATTTCATATAGAAGTCCAGTATATGTTCTTCCCTATATTGATTGGTAGGACTCAGTGGTGGCAGCTCTTTTGGGAGGGGTCATATACTCCCCAGTTTATGGCAGTGTGCCTCTTGCTCATGACATTCACTTACATTATCGATCTGGCCCCTGTAAAATCTAAATATACAGCCTCTGTTTTACTATAACATCCTGGGAAGAGCATTCAGATACCTGCAAAGTTTGTACTGAGTTTAAGGAACATTTTTTGGAGGATTTTAAATTGTGTTCAAGGCTACTTGTCAAGTATGTGTTAGTTTGCTTATTTTTTGGGCAAAAATGTAAAAGAAATTTCTTATACTATTAAAAATGTCAGAGGTGGCATAATAAAGGAAGCTACACTCAGTTCTCCCAGGACCAAACTGGAATTACAATTAAAATACAGAAAAATCAACCTGAATAACCAAATGAAGACTAGCTGAACAGAAGTTTCATAACCAAAATTTTACAGAAGAAGCCACATCAAGACTTGTAGGAAGGGCGGAGATGCTAAAGGGATGGCCTCAGTCCCACAGGCGGCTGAGATTTTAGAGGGGTCTCTCAGCTGCGAAGGTTCCCCCTCAGGAGCATGGAGTCTCAATTCCACTCTAGGATCTCCTACCCAGAGCACTAGAGCTAGGAAGAAGTGCTCATACAACACCTGGATGTGAAAATCAGTGGGAATCCTCCCGCCAAGGAGAGCCAGCTGTCTGCTAGAGACACAGGAGCACTCTTTAACTATGCTGATTTATTATATATAATCTTTTAAAAAAACTTTGAGGTATAATTTTCAAATAAAAATTTACAATTTTCTGTGTGCAAGTTCATCCAGTGAGTTTTGAAAACATATAATCATCTACCACTATAATTATGATATATGACATTTTCTCTTTCAAAGTTCACGTGATTCTTTCCAGCCATGACCCTTGACAATGATTTGTTGTCTATCATTATTTTTGCTTTTTTAGAATTTCATATAAATGGAATTATAGACAACATAATCTATTGTGTCTTTTTTTCTCTTAGCATTTTGAAAAAGCATACTGTCAATGTAAGAAGCATTCAAACCTTTAGAGAATTTTTGTGAGTTTATTTGAGCCAAACTATCAACAATTGCTAAGAAGCAAAATCTCAACGAATTGAGATTATGCTCCAGAGAATGGCAGTTCTGCAACTTATTTTATACATTACAATCATTCCAATTTTAATATATGTGCTGCCGAAGTGAGTACTACATTACAGTCAAAAGATGTAAATGGATTACATGAAATCCATTGGTGATAAATTAGGGAGGCGGGAGAAAGCAAAGCAGGGAATCTTCTGGGATGGATAAAAAGTAAAATGATGCCTCTTTTACATATGTGGGTGCAGGGTAGTTAACAGTCAACAACTCAATCATGATGAGGGGATCTGTGGTCTCTGCATACCTGGGCTTTCAGGGGTACAGAAAGGAAATTACTTTGACATTCCTAAGGTATGTTTTTGTAGATGCAAAGAGACAATAAGCGGTTGTTATTTTGCTTAATCCTTTCACCTTTTTCACCCAGCCACCATCTCCCCTTCCCTTAACAGCTATCAGTTCATTTTCTATCTTTGAGTTTATTTCTATTTTGTTTGTTAGTTTATACTGTTCATTAGATTCCACACATAAGTGAAATCATATGGCACTTATCAAGTAATCCTAGGTCCCCAAATCTTACCTTTTCAGGCTTTGATAGAGACATATTTTAGTGCATTGTTTCCAGCTTCAGTGAAACACTGGTTTTTCAGAGGAGAATTATCACCTTAAAGGGCCTTAGAGATGCTATAATTCACCACTTTTGACTCATATTATGCACCACTGGCCTGCCACACCCCAGAAACACCATGGCATTGTTGGCATAGTTCTCTGGTTACCAGAGTTCTATTATATTACTTTCTCCTCAAGAGATTTTATGAAGTTGTAGTTATAATTGAGGGATCAGGTTCATAGAGGCTAGCTGACATGGCTAATAAGTGATAACCAAGACAAATTCCATTCTGATTCCTAAATTAAGTACTTTATGCTATGCCATATTTGCTACTGAATTGTCTTAATAATAGACTCAATAGCTACTAATCAGAGGATCGTCTGTGTGACCTGAAGGAAACAGAATGGTTCCTTCCCCCGTCTGTCGAGAAGAGAATCTCTGTTGCTCCTGGCCTCCCCCGACTCCCCCAACAGTGGCAAGAGCTCCACAATTTTTATTGATCCTAGAAAAGTCTATTGACATCTTTGAGCCTCACTTGCTCACCTCATGCAGTGGTTTTGAGTATCAAAATGGAAATACACTCCTTAAAATAAATAATACTTTATTTTTTGTTCTATCAGTGCCTAGAACAGTGATGGCACATAGTAGGTATTTAATAAATGTTTGTGGAACAAATACATAAATGAATAACTTTTATTATACATTACTTATTCATTAAAGCAAATAAGGCACTATTGTGTATTAAATGATTAATGGCAATTAATCCAGATTTCTTATTTTCAAATCAGATATTCTTGCCATTACTAAAAATTGTATTGCTAAATTTGCTAAAAAAAGGTAAAGTACCATTAGTACTATCTTCATAAGAATGAACTGGGAAATGTAAGTTTTCACTAAATAGTCTATTCTCTCAGTGTGTTCACTAAATATTTTCCAGGTATGGAACAATGGATGCTTTTATTGATTAAAAATAACTCAAATTGTGGGTCCCCCCCCCCCCACAATTGGCTGGATTAGGAGTTGTTATATGGACTTAACAATTGAGAAAAATTAGAATTTGGAGAATTTAAGTAATTGACCATTGCTATAGAACTAACAAGTACTGAAGTCTGACCTCCAGGATTTCAATACCTAACTTCACTTTCAGCTATATCATGAAACTTCTCTTAAAAGGAAGGGGAACCTAATGGCAGAAGTAAAAGGAGATACGTTTTGTTTAAAAATAGAGGCATGAATTTGCTTTGAAACATAACTATGATTATCTTAGCCTAACAAAGAAATAACCTATTTCAACAGCTATATAATAAAAGCCTAAACGACCCTTATGGCAGAATGACTGGTCACTATACTGCACACTGACCACCAGGGGGCAGATGCTCAGCACAGGAGCTGCTCCCTGGTGGCCACCGCTCAGCCAGAAGCTGGGCTTACGGATGAAGTGGTAGTGGCGGGAGCTTCTCCTGCCTCCCCAGCAGCACTAAGGAGCAGCAAGCAGGAGGGCAGTAAGGAGCAGGGGGTCCTGGACTGTGAGAGGGTACAGGCTGGGTAGAGGATACCTCCCCCACCAGTGCATGAATTTCATGCACCGGGCCTCTAGTAAAAATTTAAATGCCATTTTGTCCTAAATACCATTCAACTGCTTTCCCACCATGATAATATTTTATGTTTTTTTAAAATATTTATTTATTTATTTATTTATTTATTTATTTATTTATTTATATATTTTTAAAGAGCTAGTTTAAAAGTGAGATACACTTCCTACATTATTATTTTTAAGTCTCACAGCAACCCTGAAAAATAGCTATTATCATTGCTGGTTCACAGATGGTGAAAGGGAGAGTCAAGGATGTTAAGTATGTACGAAGGTCACACAGCTAGTAAGTGGCAAAACTAGAATTCAAAGCCACATAGGCAAGAGTCTAAACCTTTTAATATCAACTACCCACAGCCACACCCACCAGGCATTATGGCATGTGCTATAAATAAAGCCAGAATATGCTTCTTTTTAGCATAAAGTTTAGTACTTTCTGGTTGCAAATATGGGGGAAAAATCAGCATGTACCTGTTTCTTATTCTGGTTTCTACAGTGATATTGTGTGCTCTTGTTGCTCTCACTAACTAGCCATCAATAAAATGCCAACCTGCAGATATCATTACTTTAGAATCTTGAGAAATAAAATATATCTTGAGGCCAAATGTGAGCTGAAAATATTATCTGTTCTGATGAAGCAGATGAGTGGATAAAATAATCCAGTTGGTTTTCTTTGAAGCTTCAGTAAGAGACATTATTAAAGGATTAGTAAAATGGCAACCCTGAATAGCCAAGACATTTGTAGACTATCACTCTCATTGAATTACATGAAATTCTACAGTGTACCCTTAATTACAAAGGATTACTTACAGCTATGACATCTGCAAGTAAGTTTCAACCTTTCTCATTTTCTTATTGTTTGAATATTTTAGCTATTGCTTTTTATATAATTTAAATATATATTTTATTGATTTTTCACAGAGAGGAAGGGAGAGAGATACAGAGCTATAATAGAAACATCAATGAGAGAGTCATCGATCAGCTGCCTCCTGTACGCCCCCAACTAGGGATGTGCCCGCAACCCAGGTACATGCCCTTGACTAGAATTGAACCTGGGACCCTTCAGTCCACAGGCTGAGGCTCTATCCACTGAGCCAAACCGGTTTCGGCTGCTATTGCTTTTTGTAGTTGCTTATCAATCCTCATTTTCCATAAAATCTAAGTAGCCCTTTCTTTTTTTTTTTGAGTTCCTTAGATTAGTTGAAACATTAAAGGCAACATATTCTAAATTGAGGAAAAATCTTTCCACCTGCAAAATTGGAGCTGATTTGAGCATTGGGACTTTCAAAACTGGGAATGAGATGCCCTCATTCATTTTGAGTGGGATTAGCTTTGCTTTGGCATTATTTGCAATGACTTGTAAACAAATACTTTAATATTATTTGAAATATGTTTAAATTATTTATGTTGGTATGAGAACTAGAAATAAGTGGCCAAAACATTGGTGATACACGAGGATTTGGGTGTTTTAATTTCTTGACTGACATCAGATTAACAATGAAGATGTTATATACATATATATTTGAAGGTGTTTCCTTTGAATCATCTGATAAGCAGTTTCCCCCTTATATAAAATTTCTGCTGGAATATAATCTACTCTACTGAGAAGTGTGATAGGATAAATCCCAAAGTTCTTATATGACATATATTTGTACTTTCAGTTTAACAGAAGAAAGTGTGAAAAAAAATGTGTATCTTGCCCTATTCTTTTTTAAAAGGAATTAAGAGGATTAGTGTGTCTTGGCATTGGTGGTACAAGACTCAAATGCTGTATTGTTTAGATAGTGCTGGGTGCTGGGATACTGTCCACACCATCACTTTGCAGTAGAACTTTCTGCAGGGGTGAAACTGTGCTAAGTCTGTCCAAAGAGTAGTCATATGTGGCTTTTGAATGCTTGAATGAGGGCTAGTGTGACTGAGGAACTGGATGTCTCACTTAATTAACTAAAACTTAAATCATGTGGCTAGTGGCAACTTTATTAGAAAGACTCAATTTGATTTCTTATTCACACGTAGTATTTAGTAAGAATAAAATAATTTTAAAAATTTGAATTAGAAAAAACATAGTAAGTGTATAAAGGTTCTCTCTGTCTCTGTCTAGTCAATTCTGTTAAAATGTTTTTTGGAAAGGGGGCAGTATAATATTATGAAAAGGGAAGACTTGCCTTCATTTTGCTGTGCTTTTAAG